AAAAAAAAAAAAAAAAAAAAAAAACAAACAAAAAACGTTTTTCGGATTACGTCGCGACGCGTGCGTTTTTTTTTTTTTTTTCTACCGTTCGTTTCTGTTGCGTCCCCGTACGGAATAAAAATCCGATTATCGTGCGCGCAAGTATTTACGACGTTGTAGCTGCGGCGCGCAGCGTGCAGCGGGCAGGCTTATTTACCGGACGGCCCGCGGCGATAGTGTAATGAACACGTGTGCGCGTTATAATAACACGGAGAAGAAGGAAAAAAAGATATAAATCAGACGATTCGTGTAATAATAATAATAATACAACCCGACCGATATAATCGTTGCGCGTAGGACGATTTCGTTTTTATCTGTACCAATATTCAGCGAATGCCGTTACCATTGAAATCGATTTTTTCGTTATTTTCAGTAATTATGTAGAACGGTAATTGTGTATAATCGTTTAGTCGCCCAAGTCGTTTACACCGTAAACCGGACGTGAAATATTACGAGATAACTTTTAATTTTCAAACACTGACCACTACCCCCCCCCCCGCTTTATTTTATTTTAGACCGGATAGGTATAGGGACGGGTCATCGTCTAATAAAACGTAATCGATTTCGCCCCTCTCTACTGCTTCGGTCTAAATGTCAAACCGTTATAATTATATTTTAGGTGCTAAAAAGTACTCGTCTGTATAACGAAGATTATAATACAAAAGGGTAAACGTTCGAAAATAGTGCAGTGTTGAAATAAACATAGAGCAATTCTGTAAACCGATTAACAACAAAAACAATCGTTTTCGACATTAAAAGCAGTGAATTGACCTATTATCAGATTTTGATCAAATTTAAAGGAAGCGCCGTTATTATCATCTGTGTTTGTACGTTGGTATTTGGCCGTTACTCAATTATTCAAGCGAGTTATGAGTTACAATTTTAAAAAACGTTTAAAAATTAAAATATCTCAAAATCCAACGTACGAACACGGATAACGACGAGTTCTTTGATGAATTTTCTACGTAATATTTACAACGTTAAAACAAACAGCCCGGACTAATTGATTGCACTGAACGCGAACCTGCTGCGAATGTCGCGCATTCCGTAAGACGGAGAGAACAAATGCGTGATGTGTAGCAGCGCTCTTAAAGTAATCCTTCATGGACATCGCTCGGTCGCGATACAACAAAAAATCACCCTGTATTTATATTATTTTTATCTGGTACCGTATTGTACAGGTACGGACGTTGTCCAGAGAAAACGAATAATATTAACAATTGTGGTGTTCTGTTTAGTTACAGGGTATTAACGACGGCCGACAAGCACACGCATACAATATATACACACACACACACACACACACAAACACACTCGCGAACGCATTATGGATATTCTTGTGCAGCATCAGCAAGTCAGCATCACGTGAACGAGTCGACCAGTCGTCTCGGCAAAAAAAAAATACAAATTAAACCGGTCATCGAATATTGTGTTATTATAAAAATGGAACGCGAACAGGCTCGCCCAATATTGTGTAAACGTTGTTATAAAAAAAAATTAAAAAAGATTTGTAATTGTTTTTGGTTTATCGAGTTTTGTTGTCTCAAAAAAGAAAAAAAAATGGAGTGATATCATTATATATTATTTTAAGATATAGAATATTTTGTGATTTTTTTTGTTTTTTTTTTTTTGTTTTTTGTCGCAAGTCCCTACACCAATTTTGATTGCGTTATGAATTCTAATATGTAATCCAACTGCAGAATTATATAAAACCTATAATTGTTGCAGTGTTGATAATATTAACCCGCCGATCACTGAAAAAAGTAGGCTGATTGTTAAAATAAAAAAATTAATTGTAAATTATTTTCGTTTGGGACCGTGGCGCGGCTACAATAATAATAATTACAACGCTGACTGCGAAAAGCCGTGAAAGTGTATACTTATATTTTTAAATGCAAATTGATCTGCGGCGTGACCTAAAAAACCGGGTACGTGTGAATTATCCTGACTGGTTCTGGAAAAAAAATTAAATAAAAAATGCGATAAAGCACTAGGTATAGACATTTCAAACATAAATCAACAATATTATTCATTTTGAATAAAAATAGTTTTTGAATGGGCATAATGATTCGTTGTTTTCTCCCGTATAAATATTGGGAACCCAGAAAACTTTTTTAAAAAAAGTACAAAATTTAAGTTCACGTCCGTTTTCTTGTATGAAAATTGAAATTTCAAAATCAGTCTTCTAGATTTTGCCAGACTCGCAACTGTCCTCATTTATTACGTTCGATCTTATTATGTGGCATTTAACTGACATCCGGTGTCTTGCGCACTTTGTTCCAGTGTTTCGTAATAATAGGAAAAAAAAATTACTTTCCAAAAGGATAATAAATACTACCCAAAACCCTGGCCTCCTAATTGATGTTTTGTGATTGAAGTTTTCTGGTCGAAATCAAGTTAAAAGACAAAAAAAAACACACACACAAATCAAAGTAAAACATCAACAGATACATTAAAAAAAAAAATAAACATACAGGTCGCAATAATTTATTGGTATTATTACATGCGTGTTTTTAGTTTTATTTTGTTGTTTCTGTAAACGTCTGTTCAATCCAATTTCCGTTCTAATCATTAATTACAAAAGTGAATTTTGACAGGAAATTTTATCTAGTTGATACGTTAGGGATGTTATTATTTTGATTTTTCTTGTATTTTTCTAAACAGTTGAGGAAATCCGGGAAATTTGCAAAAAACTGGATGACTATCGATACTACTATTTTTGTTTTTTCGATGTTATGTTTTATTGTAATTTAGTAAAAAAGAACCGCAGAGATTTACATTTTTACACCGAACACTTAATATACTTGCACTTTTTAGATAGAATTAAATTTTAAAAAAATATCTTTTTAGTTATATTTGTATGTGTTTGAAATATTCAAGTTCTTTTTTTTTTTTTTTTTTATGCAGCTTCAAATTTTTAATTTATTTCCATCGACGGTTTAAATTCAATTCCATGTTAAAATTCACTAAAATCATAAACGATTTTAATACATTTCGTTGTAACAAACTTAAAAATGAACAAACTTTTCAATTAAATTTTTTGTAAACATTTTAAACCCACTTTCATTCAGAATTGTTTTTCGTTTGCAATGATTTATCAACGGGTATAGATATAAATTAAATTACCAGAATACACGTAATTTCTTTTCGATAGGTACCCAGTTCCCACTGACTACGGTACTTTTACTAAAACTGTTGAAAGGTCGATTATTTTATCTTGGCCATAAACCTTTTTTTCCGGGCGAAGTCAAACATTTTACTAACTCCTTCTCACTTAAAAAATCTTATCACAATTGAAGTAGGTCGGCAACTATTAAAAACTGTAACGCAGTAATTCTGCATGAAATAATTGTTAACCCTCCAGGCAGTAAATGTTTATGCTCCTTTTTCATGGCATTCATGTTTTTTTTTTATAACTATAAAATAATATGCTTATTGTAAATAAAATGTATAGATTGTATGTAATATAATAAATGTTAGAAAAAAAAAAATACAAATATTTATATAGGTAATAGAATTACGCTAATAATTTTTCATTCGAATCGAAAGTGACAAACGGGACTAAATCAAATTATTGGATTCCATTGAAATTTCCGCTTATGTTTTAAATTCGTATTCGAATGTAAGCAAATGTTGTTGTAAATTCTACATTCAGCGAAAAATACATTTTTTTAAAAATAAATAGTAATACAAATTATGTTATTTTAAAAGACACGTATGAATTATAAAAATCCATTTCCAGTAGAAATTGTTATTACAATGTAAATTAAATAATAAAAAACAAAAATATTTTTGTAAATAGTTAGGTACTTACATATAATATTATATTATTATTGTATTCTTAGTGAACAATTTTCGGTTTCATAAGATGGTTTTAGAAACAACGGCAATAGTTAGTTTAGTCGAGGAAAAAAACAAAGTAGAACCTTAATGATCTCGCAAAAACTTGAAGGGAACTAAACAAAAATAAAAAAAAGATATAATATACTTATAATGACATTTATTAAAAATGTGATATACGGAATAACTAATTGTAAAAATGCATTGTAATTTCTATAGAATTTGTATACACACTTAAAACTGAACTGTTTTTAAGAGAAATGATTTTTATTAAGTTGCCTACGCGTGATTTGTTATTTTATTTAAAAACATATTTTACAGGAAAAACTCATTTTTTTTTTCTAACGGAGAGTACTAATGTCGATGATCTGTTTTATTGCAAAGATGAAGACTTTTTACAGGGCTCATAGGAATGGGATTTCAAATATAGTATTTTATAAACGCTATAATTATAAAGTTTAAATATGACCAATATTCACCATAATTTCGTAGTTTTTGGTATCATAATCTGAAATCAGAGTTCAATTCATTCAGTAAAAAGTTTCCCGCTGTTCAATAAAAGAAAAAACCCGATTGAAATCGGACCACTCTGCGAAACACGGTAGTTTTTCCTATAAAGCATTTTATTTTGAGTTTAACAACTGGTCTCGCGTAAGCCCCTTAATGTGAAAATTAAAACTGATCGAGTTATTCGTTAAGAATTGTTAAACCTTATCAATTGTAATTGTTAACAAATTGTCGATAGTAATTATTAGCAATTTGTAAAGAAACTGCCCACGTGGGTAGGTTCTTTAATATCCGAAACTAACTAATATTATTTAATAATCGGTCTACGAAACAGGGGCGATCAAACGGTGAGAGACGAGGAGGATATATTACTCCGTATTATCTCATTTTTTTTTTTTTTAAAACATTTAAAATTCGTGTCTTGGATATTATGTAAACAGTGTTCAAAATTATCCTTATACCTCCCTATACATATTATAAATAATAGATTTAATTTTAATTGAGCTGTAAAGAAACTTTTGAGGTAAATCGAAAATCGTAAATATGTTTTATCAGATAACCCATAAAAATGCACTTATTAAATGTACTTGAAGTCATTGAAATTTAATGTTTAATATACGAGTTAAAAAAAAAAAAATTTAACGTGTAAATAAAATATATCATTTTCGTTTTAAAATAACAATGCGAAACCTCGAGTATATTATTACCTATTTATTTATTTAATTATACTCGAGGATTTGCATTGTCTTTTTAAAAAGCAGTATAATATTTATTATCCACCTACAATATTATGTTAAATTTTTTCATTGGTGTCGGGGAACGTAAATAAAAAATTCAATAACATCACACCTGTGTCTAAGTTTAAAATGCGTTGAAAAAAATAAGAGTCGACAACAATAATGTCTGCAGTAAAGATACTGAAATTAGTTGTACGATTATAAGATGTTAGAGTTGATACGAGTAAAGAAGTTATACATAGCTGTAGATGACAAGAATGGCGTTAAAAAAAAAAAGAAAAGTTTTTATCATTAGTTGAGGAAAAAGTAAAGTTTTTTAGTGTTATTATTATTATTCATTTATTTTTTTCAAATTTTATTCGCAAATTGTGCAAGCCAAATAAACAACACATAATTGCTCTAATTTTAACAATAACGGCATGGCCGGGTTAGCCCGCATAAGACAGTCATTATAAACGACAAAACTTTATTATAAGGTCAAATTTAAATGTCAAAGTTTTGTTTTAATAAGGAAACACAATTTTTCGAGCCGGTAAAATATACATTTTATTTGATTGTACACGCGAATTTGAAAAATGTAAACCTAGCAACAATAGTTGCTATAACAATATTAAAAATTCCCGTTGTAAATGGATATGTGCAGGGAAATGAGCAACGGTAGATTCCCTAGCAACGTATTGTTTGGCGAGGTGAAAACTGACAGTGCGACGTGTTCTCAAACACACATCCGAACGTTTCGATGTTGAAAATACATTGACACAAAACTATATTTCACAGGTACTTTCGTTATAAACCATTGCTTACAATTACTTGTTGATACAATTAAACAAATCTCAACATCAGAACATAGGATCAGTGATATGTTACATGGCCTGCTATACGACACACTAGACAATATAGATCTTATGTTTTTCTCAAATGGGTGACATTTCTTTGAATACGACAGACTAAAATCGCCTTCGTAGTCCCAATATGATTTTCCAATGGGTTACGGCGTAGAGGAACTTTCGTACTTACTTCGTTTGTTTTTTTCTAGGACGTTGATGACGTGGTTTTCGAATTATTATTGTCTGTATTATTTAAACACGTACTCTCTCTGTGATTTATAAATCAATGCATTTTACTGCGAGGCAATTGTAATTATTAACAGTAGGAAAATATTGTACAGGCGAATGTTATTTTCAACATTTAAATAGGAGTGCAATTAGGCATTGATAAGTAGGTACCTATGTAAATAATTTGATTGAAAATAACGCATAACTACTATGCAATTAATTGGATTTGTAACGTGCGTGAAAATTCAAAATCTGAATTTCGAATTATTGTACAATTATGTAGTTATCTATAACCTACTGAGGACGTTTTGGATTCCGAGCGACGAAGAACGTTTGATGTGTTTTTTTGGTAACTGTGAACAACTTTTAAACCAGAATTCATGCTCCAAACATCAACTTTAAACACGTTTTAAAAGGCGAATTTCGTCTACTAAAGTTTATTGGAACGACACTTTTGGATTTTATAGACCCTATAAAGTCGGTATTTATTTGAATTTTATGATGTCTAATAAATATTATAACTAAACAAGTAATGTTCGACCAAAATGTCCTCGAAAAAATGTAATAAATTAAATTTAAACAAAAATTAATGTGAAAATAGTAATAACTTATAGAATTTAATTAAAATTATTACCTAAATTGAATTTAATATGGCCGAGTCGACTAAGATATGAATATACGGTTATGCTAATAGATATTTATGTAAATAAACCGATTTTTGTTTTCCAACAACAAAATATAATACAATATGAGATTTGCAGACTATTTCTATAGTTTATCTTTTTTAGGATATTATTTCTAACTATAAGTACATACATTTTAAAAACTATATTTCTGAATAAGGTGTTAATAAGGTGCCGTTTTTAAGAATGGACAATGCCAAACTAGAAACGCGAAAAAGTCACACCATATTGTCAGCCCTATGAAAACACGAATATTTAAGCACGTACCAGCATAATAATGTAACGGGCAAGCCCTGCATGAATATAATATAATATAATATAATATAATATGCAAATTGGCAATGACCGAAAAAATCGAGGAAACCTAGAAACCGTCCCGTGTAATGGTGAATGGATAATATGCCGAAGACTGTCCAGACTAAATGTGCGCATGAAATTAGGATTGGTAAGGATTCTGAGAAGACGGAATGGCGTGACATATTGGAAGCGTCGAAGGCTTTTAGAGCGCTATAAATGCACAGAGGAAGAAACGAAGAATGTGTGGCGTTACAAAAAATAATTTTTTTCAACTACGATGAAAAATGTATAAAGATCAAAATTGTCCACTATACTAGGTTTGCTAAAAAAGTGGTGACAAATGATAATGTGTACCAGCGTAAACAGATAAGTTACTCATTTTATTGCCTCAGCACTGACGCTAGTTCGTAGAAATGATGAATATGTATAGACAAATACTGTCAGTAATGTTTTTTTGTTTTTGTTTTATTCTTTTTTTTTTAAAGAACACGTATTGTTTGTGAACCAGTATTGTATAGATTAAGTTCCATGACTAAAAACTTCGGATGTAAAGTGCAATTCATAGATAATTTGTTTGTAAATATCCTTTTCGATTAGCATTATTTTATCATTCTTAATATGTTTTATAAATTTACTACGACGAGTTAGAAATAATCTTTGACATTGTTTTTTTTTATGCGGTAGAATTACTTAGTGAAATTGAAAACTGAAATCGGCCGTGATTCGAATAATTAATTATTATCAACAAAACTTTTAATTCTTAAGCGTTAAAGGAAAAATTTTAATGTAACATTTTACATTAAGTACCGTAGTCTTTTAATATTATTTACTGTCATCTAAGTGTGTCTACTATGAGTATATCTATGTGAGTTTTTCATTCAGGTTGTTCTCCGTTGATAAGGTCTATATATATATAGTATGCGCTTTACTCAACACCAAACCAATGATGAAAACTACGGATAAAATTAAAAATAAATAATTAGCAATAAGTTGATATTGCTGACGGTGTGCCACTGTTGTAGGTGGAAAGTTGGAAAGGTAGAATACTTAAAGAGTTTAGGTACCTATTTAATTTATATCTGTAGTCGACGGTAGACCACTGCTAAAGAAATACGATTCTGAGCGAAGTTAAGTTATAGGCACGTACGTATTTTGATAGTTTTTACAATTTTCGGCAAAATTCGATTTTAAAACTCTTATGAAAAAATAACTACTGCATTGCACGTCACTTGAATTAATTACAACTTATAATAAACCTCGTGTTAAATTTTTAAGTTTTCTGTTTATTCGAACACGTTTTATCCATATATACCTAGGTACGAAATAAAAACTAAAAATAA